GATTGCTTTTTGTTAATGCAGTTGCTGGAGGTTACGGGGGGGCAGTGGTGGAGGTGAGTGATGGAGGATCGCAAGAATGCGCTGTGGGCGCCGCCAACGGCGCTTCCTACGCTATCGTCGGATGAGGCTTAATGGAATGCGGCGAGCAGTTGGTGCAAGAAGTTTCAAGTCATTAGTACGGATACAATAGCCGGGTCATAATTATGCTTGTAATCAATTTGCTTCTAAAGAGACGGCCGGCCCATGTGCTGCGGTGACAGCTGAGTTCGCACTGCCTTCAGAGTGCGACAAGGAGGGCCAGTGGCTGGAAGGGGGCGGGAGTGGGAGAGGGAGCTGGGTGCCGGGCGCGCCGAACTCCTTTCCACAAACCAACGATTGAACCATAAGACCCTCGTTCGAGCGTTGCAGTTTCGGATAGTGAACCTTGTCAAGGGAAGGTGGACGAGGTAGCAGATTCCAGAGTGGATCAGGAGTAGATAGAAATGAAAGGAAATATCGTATCTCCAGATGGAACAAGAAGCATTTTGGAAACGCAGGGTTACAGGCGTGTCAATGTTATTGAGAATCTATGAGTCATACTCTTAGTCTATCTTGGAATAAATGTTTTATCCTTCATGTAACCTCGACGAACATGGATCACCATGATTTTACACGGGCATCATCTTTACGTACATCATTATTAACGTTAAATTTAGTGTTTAGAATGCTGATTTACACGACATTTAAGGGAATCACCAGACATCTTCATTTTGGTCAATTTTAGTTTTCACTTTTTTTAACGAAATGAAAAAAAAAGATAAACAAATCACACACTTAAAATAAAGGCCTCGACAAAACAATGTCTCGAACTTTTAAAATATTTTGTAAATATCATTAATTTGAAAAATCAATTTGCCAAAAATGTTCATGTATTTCTCTCCTAAAAATACATACATGACTCGAAACCTAGAATGTCGATTAAGTGACATGTCTATTCTGCCACCTTATTCGAGAAGTCTACCATCGAAGGAGAGGATAAAGAGTTATGATATTATTAAAAAAGAAATGTTAACATTTAAACTTGCTCTTATTCTCCATAAGCTGTATATTTACATAAACATGTGGGAAATAAGTTGGAACATTTAATAACAAACGACAGTAATCGTTTATGTTGCAAAACGGGAATGAGGAGCACGGAGTGATATGACGCTCGTTGAACAGAGAAATTGAACTTTGTCCTTCGGACCGTCGTGACGAATTCAGAGTTTGTCGTTCGGAAGGCAACGGAACCGGTATTCGGGAGCGGTGGCGGAGACGTGGGTGGGGACATTCTCGTCATAACCCCTCCCTTCCGTGATCAGAACGGGTCTTGCGCCCCAGCAGAACTTCGATTCCTTGGGTAACTGTTTCGCCTGCAACCGCTCGACCTTCGGAGATACGTAGCGCCCCGCGGCTCTCGGCCGGCACAGCGTCACCGCTGCGTTTGTCAACAGACGCCGCGCCACGCAGGTGGCGAAGTTCAAGAGGCGGCGCGCCCCAAGTGCAAAATGCGAACCTCTGCTCCCTCTGAACGTCACTTCCGGGACGCTCCTTACGCGCACTGCCCTGTGCGGCTGAGCGCGCTTTCCATGCGAGGGGCCTGATGTAGGGACACGATATTTATGGAATTGCACATTCTTTGCTTTTCTAGTTATCGTTCTCAAATTTGTCGCCATCCTAACATAATGTCCATTTTTTTCGTTGCATATGTAGTACCATATTACGTATTTTACATATTTAGTACTATATAATATACTTTACATATTTTGCTATTTTCAGAATTTTTAAAATCTATTAATTTTCTTAGATATTTTATGAAAAGTATTTTCTTTTAAATCAGCATTTTTCCCTACATTACTGCGTGCTGTCTAGGTAGCTCATGTAAAGATCTTCTCACAGACCGGCGTGCTAGCTTCAGTTATCTCAATGGTGGGAAGTGCGCGTCAGCAAATGGTGAAGGCAAAGGTGAAGTCTTTTTCACCTTTGAGAATGAAAAGTATCACTGACCCCGCGTTTAGCTACCTTTAACCTTACACTTTACGAGAAATTTTGGCGATCGTCGCTGTGATACACTCCGATGAGAATGCTGCACTCTGCAGTGATTGGTTGCAGGTCGTAGATATCGCCAAGTTGCCTGATGGCTTCTACTGCGTCTATAGTCTGTCTGCTAAACTACTGTCCTGGATAACAATATATATGGGGCTTTTACTACTGACGGAAAAGTTCTATGGTGCAAATTGAGCATCAAATTGTGTTCTCAAAGTCAATTTTTAAAAGTTTTGTATTATTTTTAAAATTTGTTTAGGAGATTTGTTTTGTTATTGTAATTTTGAATTATGTAATGCGTTCAATAAAATGCGCATTTTTATATTGCATATTTTATCCGATTTTACATTTTATGGACATATTTTGACGTTCCGTACTACGTATTTTTCCGGTTTGTCACCCAGCCTTCCAACTCTTGAGAGCCGGGATCAAATCCCCCTTCTCCAGTTGGAATGTTCGGTGAACAAGCAGAGTTCTCAAAGATTCGCTGCATCTCCTGGTCAATCTGAATTTCCCATTATTTCATTCTTGTCCGAACTGGAACATTCAAGCTCAAGAATTTGGAAGTAATTTATATTATGTGATGTAAACAATTGCACCGTAGTTGCTGGTTGCAGCATAGATTGTTCTATGAATTCTTACACACCAGCGGCGTGAGAAGAGAACTCTGTGTCCGCTTTGTGAACTTGCATGTGATGTTCAGTTTTTAAAATCATAAACAGAGTACAATGAAACCTTTGTATGTTTTTATTACTTCTTATTGAAGTTTTTTATTTCAAGAAAACAATTGTTTCGGCCGGGAGATAAGGTTAATTTGATTGCTTTAATACAGCTTTATACTAATGCGATAACAAGTTTTATTCCAGCAAAATTTTCCGAAAGAGTGGGATTTTCGAAGGCGTGCGTCGGGAATTACAGAGGTTGCGCGTGACACCTCCCAGGGGGCCTTGACAAGCGACTCGCTCCCTTCCGCGCTCGCAGCGGAACTGCGTGAACTACGGGAATATCCGCGCCACTTCCCGTGGCCACTTTACTTGGCGTTGTTGCGAAATGGGGGATGGATGACACGAGTAGGTTTTTCTTTCCTTTCTCGCTGTTCTCCTCACAAAGCAAAGATGAAATATTCGTACTTTCCGGATAGACCCCTGAAAACAATGAATATTGAATGAATAGATTCACAGATGTAATGGGAAAGAAAGTTCTATTATTTATGTTTCCATATTATAACTCTGTTTCAAAGTGTTGTTAAACCTTTTGTATCGTCTCATTTCATATTTGGGGAGATTATGCGTGCAGCCTTAGACAAAAGCTGCACGCATAATCTCCCCAAATATTAATCTCGTTAATATTTTTGGGTCCTCTTTTCGCTTTAACTTCTTTTATTAACTTGTCATATTTTTCCAGTTAATAAATAAAATATAAGTGCAAAATAAAATTGTAAATTCAATGAAACAATTACGAAGTATGAATGATTATATCTTGAACAGTTTTCAGAGTTGCCAGTTAACTTTAATAACTTTTTCCTCAAATGTATAAGAATTTCCAAATTTTCGGGTTGAAAGAGGAGAAAATTCGGGGAATAAATATTTTATTTCCGTAAATACAAGTATATATTTATTGCGAAATGTTATAGGAGACCTGTAATATTTTTCAGGGTGTCCCTCCTGCCTCCGCAGTGGAGATACGCAGATTTAAGTTAAAATACACCTCTTTCGGGAGGTAGGTAAACAGTTGGAAAAGTTGACCGCGGGATGCAGTCGGTATACGCCTGAAATCATTCGTTAGGCTAAGGAAGAAGTCGGAACGGGATGCAGTCGGCCTTTTGGTGAAGAAGGTAAAGTGCTTAGGAAAAGTTGACCGTGGACTGCAGTCGGTATACGCGTGAAATCAATCTTGACACTAAAGAAGAAAACCTGTACGGCGTGCACTTGGGCTATGCTTTTGGGTGTGATAGATAAACGGCTTAATAAAAGTTGGCCCCGGGCCGCAGATGGTATACGCCCGACGGAGGCAGCGGGCAGGCGAGGCTAGGCGAGGTACGAGGAAGCGGCGGCGACGGCGCTGCGCGTAATGGGGCGTCCCCTGCGGCGGGGCGGCCGGAGGAAAAACTCGCGCCGCGCCGCGCGCTCCCCGCCCGCTCCGCAGGGGCGGCTTCCTCCTGCGGAATGCGTGGCCTCCGGCGCCGGGCGCCCCTCGCGGCGGGGCTCGCGCACTGGGCCCGAACGCGCACCACCCACTGTCCGAGAGCAGAACGGCGTAGCTTCTGTCGTGCTATTTGAACATTTTCGCCTCTCGCCAGCTGAAGGATTTGCAGATTGAGTGAATTACAAATAAACAGTGTATATTGTAATCAAATCTTTACGATAATATGAAGTTTAAAAAAAATGAAATATTCGGTGCGATTAGTACGGGTGTAAAATTACTGTATTGAACTATTACAGCGGATGATCATACAAACTTCTCAGAAATAATTCTAAAAACTAAATGTAGTATTTGTTTCAATTACCTGAAAGAGTGAATATGTCTATGTTGCAAAAAGCTTGATCGTGCTTACAATGTCTGATATTTCAATTTATTTTATTTGTGGAAAGAGTTCCTTAAGAAATTGCTGAGAAATATTCTGTGAACCTTAGAAAAGAATGAGTGTTTGAGGGGGGGCGCGATTTGTCCCTGTAAATCGCGGATGGCGGCCAACGTGGTGGCCGGTGCGTCGCGTCCAGACGGCGTGAATGGCTTGTGGGGCCCACTGTGCGGGCTGCGCCGTCCCGTCGTGCGGGG